CACCTTAGCTTGATCTTATGTTTCTCGCTTTTAAACTAGTTACTTGCGAAGGAGGACGTGGGTCAGCTTCCTGTCTGGGAGCTGCAAACCCTCTGTCGAGACCGCGGCATGCGCTCACTGGGTCTCACGGAGGAGCGCCTGCGGAGTCAGCTGCGTCAGTGGCTTGAACTACATTTGGAGAAAAATGTGCCCATCTCTCTGCTACTTCTTTCAAGGGCTATGTACGTTCAGGACACGACTTTGCCACCAGAACAGCAGCTGCAACACGTAAGCCTCGATCGTTGCGCTTGATTTGCCTTCATGCTGTTGGATGCCCTTTTCGCTAATTGCTTTCTTTATTACGTAGTAGCCAGTCGCATGTAGTTTCGGACGTAGTTGCATCATTTTGGATCGAATGTCCTATATTTTGGCAGCTTAACACATGAGTTCCATCCTATCCACTTTAACTGGTAGCCTAATATCTAGTCTCTGTCTAATTCGTTCTAGTGACCCTATTTCGCGTGCCACCGATTCGAAGCTGCCGTTTTCCACCATAAAATGGATCCTATTCTCAAAATTTTCACGTTTTCTGGAGGCTGTTGCAAATAGGCTTTTTAGGTCTTGTCAATATAAATTTGAGTAAGTCGCGATTTTTTATGTTGCTAAGCCCCGGAAGACAGCTTTTATATGTTGAAAAACTACGATTTTGAGCCAAGTTTGAACACCTGAGTCTGCTTGTACTCGATGAAACGTTGATCATGCGTTATGCTGCCCGTTTCAATAACGTTGCTGATAATACTTATCAACACACGAGAATCCAGGACAGCGTGTCTAGTTTTCGACTCACTCCTCTCCCGTTACAAGTTCCGTCTATCAAAGACGCAAGAACCACCTTCCTATTTCGATTAACTATGTCAAGCCAGGTTTTAAGCTGACTCCACTATCTTCAGTTGGTCAACAGCACTTTCTGGGATAGATGCCAAACGTGCTCAAACCACCTCGTCTCTTATAAATGGTTAGAGATGTGCTAGTGTGTCAGCGATTGCGGACTGTCTCATTAAGGATGAATTCAGTGTGCTTCACACAGTAGTGGAAAGCCTCTAATTTTCACGCATCTTTCACGCGCAAAACACCATACAAATTTGTTGGTGAAAGCTGATGTTGATGAGTTCTCCTCCATCACTTGGATGTATGGTTTCACTCTATGGTTATGCCCTTAGTAGTTGAGATTAAGCAGATTGCCACCTCAGATCACACACCACAGAAATTGACTTTGAATTGTTTTGCTTCTTACGTTATCTTGCCGTTTTGTCTTCCCAGGTTCTCTCCGTTCTGCCCATTGCCGCTTCCGAAGAGGCCGCCATTAAGGCCATAGAGTCGACGGAGGGCGTCGATCCCAAGACTAAGATTGAAGTCCTTCGGAAGGAGCAGGAATCCATCAAGGCGGAACGCGCCGCAGAAAAACAGCGCCAGTCGGATGAAAAGAAGAAACTGGAACTGGCAAAACAGGCCGAGGAAGAAAGACTGGAATTAGCCAAAAAGGCCGAAACTATGGCGAAGACGGCCGAAAAGACCCAAATTTCGGCTAGTGAACGGGAAACATTTGCACCGACCCCGACACGTGCGTTTCCGGTCTTTTGTTCCATATTAATAGGTGGCGGATACAGCGACTATCTTCACGTTGGTTTCATTAGATTCTGCCTTTTGCCTTGAATAATTAGCAGGAATGTTTTTTATAGTTGCCTAAACAAGACACGAGAACAGGAACTGCCCACAATGCACGTAGCTTTGCGTCAGAGAAATTAGGTTTGAGTTTTGGGCTTATGACCAGGATTATGGTAAAGATTAAGGTTCGTGTTCGTGCTAGTTGTAAGGTTTAGGTTTACGGTAGGACTAGGGTTAAGATTAGGATTACAGTTTACTTTTATGTTAGGGTTAAGACACAGGAATATTTACCCTTCCTGGAATTTATCACAAGGCCATCGATTTTAATTGGGCAGGGCGTTCCTACACCTGTGTTCTGTTTAGGCTGTTGTACAAGTCACTTTTACCGGATCATTCTATAGAGGCAGGCTTACACATAGCTTTCAAAGCAGGGTAGGTCTAACGCATAACTTTTACGGACCGCTAAAAGTCAAGGGGCTCAAAAAGCTCGAAAACCGTTATCAGGAAACGAATTTGAACGTCCGAGCCTCCGAAATCGCACCCGTAGTTTCACTTCCCATGTTTCGCCTATGAACTATCACAAGCACTTCGTCAAGAAAAAGCACCTACTTCGTACTGA